TAGCCATTTGAGAGAGACTGGATCGACTTCCCAGGTCCCAAACCCATAAATCCTCAGAAAGGGACACACCAGGCCTGGCGCCCATTTCTGAACAAATTAACTGTAGCCAGGTCATGAGGTGGCATGAGAACATGCCAGCTTCATCAGGAACTGAACACAGCAAGGTTCGTAGAAGATGGGAGGGTGTGCTGAGCAGACAGTTCCATACTTATTGCTACAGGCAAGAAGGCCAACACTGAGTCTCCAAACAGGTCGGAGCAGCCCTGAACATTGTATTCCTATACTTCAGGGTCACAGAACTTACTTGACACTTCCTTGTCAGCTCTCAGAACACATCATGATACTTCAGAAATCCATAGATATAATTGACTGGGTGATAACATGGACTTTCATAAAGGAAGTCAAAAGAAAAAAAAAATAGTTTCTACTCTGTAATGTCTTTAGCAAAGCCACTAGCTCATATGGTGCCATTGTATAGACTCCAAAATGGCAGCCCTTGATTGTAAGCTGGAATTTAAGCTCACATACACCCCTCAGTCAGGTGCCATTGCACAGCTGTATATATATGATAGATAGCCCTATTAAGTGTTAATGTAACTATTCGCAGTAAGTGGATCTGGGAATGTTGAGTGACCAAAAAAGGGGTGGAGGGGTATTAAGAACTGTGAAGGGTATGAGATGTTACCTACTTGCAAGATAACAGGTCAGCCTGAGACAGTTTCACAGATACCTATAGAGGACACAGGTCAGTTGATTACTCACAGCAATGCAGTGGCCTATTGTGGCAGAATACCACCATCTGCGCAGCTTCTCTGTGTTCCGGCTCCTATGGGGTGACACGATGAAGGCCAGATGGTGACTGCATGTGCAGTGTGTTGCTTTACACACCAAGAGGAACCAGCGTATAGAAGATCTGAGTCTTTTATAAAGGGCTGTTAGCAAACCTGTCTTACTTTTGCCCCAGAGAGAGGCATTTACCTGTTTCGAAAGGCTGTTTGCTATACAAACATCCTTGAAAAAAATTGTCAGGAGCAAAGTAGTTAATGCCTTTGTTCAGAAAACATGCAGAAATATAAGAGACCTGTGGAGAATTGTTCCCTGTTGACAGGGAAAGGGAGGGGAGAAGCAAGGGTGTAACATTGTGCCCCTAGAACAGGGGTCAGCATACTTTTTCGGTAAAGGGTCCAGATAGTGAATATGTTAGCTTTGCAGTGACTTAGCTCTACCATTGGACAGCAGCCATCGACAACATGTAAATGAACGAGTACGGCTGTGCCAGCAAAACTCGATAAAATGCCATATTTGGGCTTATGGGCTGTGTTGCTGACCCCTGCCCAAGCTCAGTTTTGCTCAAACTTGTTAAATATCTACCTTTTTTCCTAAACCGTCATTTTCACAATCCAAATCTAGGTCATTCTGTAATTAACTTACGATGTATGTGTTTTTTTACATTTATGAAATTTATTTATGTTTATAAAATGTGAAGTCGGAAAAGCCATTCACACTGTTTAGTATCTTAGAATACAAGCATCCACAGATTATGTATATGTTTCTGGAATATAGGTATCTAATCAGATGTACAAAATATTGAACTAAAATCTTGCTTCCCTGTCAGGATTAATTGTATTAGCCATGGGAAATGGTGAAGGATTTATGAAATCTACTGGGTTTATTGAACAAAACATCACGTGTAGCTGATCTAGATACTAGAGGGGGTTGGCTTAATATGACTTGTATGAACTTAGAAAGCAGGTTTTTAAAAAAAACACAAACCTTTTCAGTTAGCTTCTTTCTGTAGATAAAAAAGAAGTATATATTATTACCACAAAGTGCCAGGTGTGATGCTACTTATTGTAGAAGAGGACATAGAACTCTGTGTTATCACACGTAACCTTTCAAGATTGTCAGGAAGGACATTTTTAATGTTGAATTCAGTGCTTCTTGAACTTGGTTGAGTGCTGGAAAATGAGTAGAGAGAATCATACTGTTTGTCTTCCTTTGCACATCTTTTTAACTATTATAATAAAGGTACAGAAGTTTGAGACAAGGTAGAAAAAAGCACAGATATTAAGGGCATATTTCCCAGGGTTAGATTGAGAGAGAGACTCAATACAACCAAGACATGTTGATAGCTCTTAAATGACTTCAGGCGTGGCGTACCGACTCAGCACCTTATGATATTTGGATTGCTGATTCCTGGCTGCTTGTAAACTAAACCCCTGCTTCTGTCCTGCTTTTCTCATTCTACTGTACACTAGCCTCCTTCCAACTTTCAGCTTTATTTCCCCATATGATATGTTGCCCAAGCTTTCATGAGTTTTTTTCACTTCTTAAAATTTTTCAATTACAGTTAGCATACAATATATTAATTTCATGTGTACAACATAGTAATTAGACACTTGTATAACTTATGAAGTGATGTCCCTGATAAGTCTAGTACCCATCGGACACATACATCATTATTGCAATATTATTGACTATATTCCCTATGCTGTACTTTACATCCACATGACTGGCTGTATCAACATGCATTTAAGGAGATAATGAAAACTGTCTCTGGAACAACGAAGGAAAAAAAACAACACTAAGATGGTTACTTTTTCCAATATGCTTATTTAATTAAGAGAATAAACATAAGAAACTGAAAAATATAATTATCTATTTAAGGGCTTAGGTTTAAAGTTGATTGTCATAGCCTCAGTGACATGGGAATTTATGGGGAAAAAAGATTTTTTTGCTGAGTGTAAATCTATAAATATATTATGTATATATGGTATACTCGTGTAAACTTACACACACGTTCTCTGTCCATTTGCTTATTTTTATGATGCCCACTCTAAGAGTGAATGTTTACTGCTAAGGTTTGCTGTTTTAGGTTGTGCTAATCACCACCACCACCACCTCCTACCCCCACCCCAACCCCCACCCCCGAATTTGTAAAGGAAATAGAACTTGGTGTGTGCATTGAAACAGAAGAGTTTTGAAAATAATTTTTCTATAAGGAAAAGAACCTACACTTAAAAGTGAAAGTGCTTTGAAAACTTAAAATACTAGACTATTGTTATTTTCATCAAACAGCCAAAATAGGATGCATAGGCCAGTTGTTTATTACTTTATATAGCCAAAATTTAAAATTTACCTAAGTATTTATTAGGTTATATTTTAAATTGTCCACCCGTATGGATTAAACTTTTGGAAAAGGAATACTATACTTTAATGATGCTTTGAAGACACTTTATCATTTAGTATATATGATATTTAACTTTTGGATTTTTGTGGATGAATCTTAATTTATTATTAACTAGAGGCCTGGTGCACAAAATTTGTGCACTCGGGGATGGGGGTCCCTCAGTCTGGCCTGCACCCTCTCACAGTCCGGTAGCCCTCAGGGGATATCCAATTGCCAGGGACAGGCCTAAGCTGTCAGTCGGACATCCTTAGTGCTGCCGCAGAGGAGGGAGAGGCTCCCACCACCACTAGTCGTGAGCCTGGCTTCTAGCTGAGCTGCGCTGGCTTCTGGCTAAGCACTCACTAGTCATGAGCCTGGCTTCTGGCTGAGCGGCGCTCCCCCTGTGAGAGCGCACTGACCACAGGGGGGGCAGTTCCTGCATTGAGCGTCTGCCCCCTGGTGGTCAGTGTGCGTCATAGTGACTGGTCATTCCACCGTTTGGTCAGTTTGCATATTAGCCTTTTATTATATAGGATGAGGTTTTAATGTCATCAGGCATCAGTGGCATAGTGAACATGTTGAATAGCTTAATATGTACTTTCACACTTATAATAGAAAACCTAGTTTGGGAGAGCTCTTGTTAGGAAATAGTCTTGATTAGGCTTGGTTAATTACAAATTGATTAAAAAAAAAAAAGCCTGGCCATGTCAGGTCAAGCCACATGCAATACTTCTGCTTTGAGTGGAAAGATAGCCAGGACATGAGTTTAGCATGGATTATTTCTTCATTTACTATGCTGCCTCTGATTTCATTCAAGATTGAACAGAGAATTTAACTACAGAAATCTAAAGTTCAGTGGAAGGGTAAAGAGAAGATTAGGCAAGAAAATACTGGGCGGGAGAGGGAAGAGGAATAGAGATGTTTTGTTTTGCCAAATAATTTAATCATAGTGTAGGGCTATAAGAAATAAAAAAATGTGATGCTGGGTTAACAGCTCAATCAAGGCCCAAAATTATCTCCCAGGTACATAAATAATTCGAATGTTTGTACTTTAAGGTCATTGAGGAACGGCTAACATTAAATCATGTACAGGGGTCAGGGAAAATATTTTTTTAAAAATCATGTACATACTATTGGTTAAGTATTTAAGAAGAGTACTTCAATATGGAGTCAGTAGGCTACATCAGTTTCACTGAATTTGAAAAAAGAAAGAAAGAAAGCTCTAGAAGAAAATGGAAGTGCAGAAGTTACCTGATCTCAAAGTAGGGAAGATCTTTTTAATCACTACAGCAAGGGAAGAAACCACCTTAAAGGAGGTCATAGTCTTCCATTTACAGTGAAAGAAACTCAAGGTGAAAAAAGTTCAAGGACTCAGGATTGGAAATGAAGGTACAAAATGTTCATTACTGGCAAGTAAGACTGTCTTACAGTTCAAAGACCTGAGAAAATCAACTGATAAATTAGTAAAACTAATTTAAAAATTATCAAAATGTTCAAATATAGCGTACCTAGGGAAAACTAACAAAAAACTTTATAAACTCTAAAATAAAAAATATATTTATATAACTGAGATTCTCTTATTAGACATATTTTCAAAATATTTATGTCTGCAGAGTACAGAAAAATTAATAGTTTTGAAGACATTTACTTCACAAAAAATTTATGACTTAATTACCTATGTGTGATGTTCTGCTAATGTTTGTTATTGTGGTTTATGTAATACTTTAGGGAAAGCAAGAGTTAATGTTAGAAATTTTTGCATATTTTCTAAGAGAATTATTAAATATGTTTACTAATTCATTTTTTTCCTTCTTTTTCCAACATGCAATAGGTCAGTACTCCTGTCTTTGTACCAATGAAAACTCATGTGCTGCTTCATCGCATGAGTGGGAAAGGACTAGCTGCCCATTACTTCTTTTCAAGACAGCCTTGCATTTTTGGTGATAAAATGGTCTCTGTACAAATAACACTGAATAATACTACAGATCGAAAGATCGAAAATATCCGCATCGGAGAAAAAAAACTTCCTCCAGGCATGGAAATGCATGTTTTTAATCCAATAGGTAAATATTCTCGTTTAAAATTTGAACTATATTTGATAATTAAATGTGTTCATTTTAAAAGTAGATACATATTTTATTGATATTAGCATACTCAGTTTATGATTGTTTTTCCCCTTTCAAACCAAATTTATCATACAAAATAAAAATAAAAAACATTTCTTTGCCCTTAGTATTCACAGAAGGATAAGTCTGAAAAATCAAAATTGCCTCCCGCTTTACCTAGCTGCATCACCTTCCTCCTACCTCTCTATTTCAGTCTCATTCCTGATTTTAGACTATCTTTATTATTGTAGACCTGCCATTCCCTGTTTCCTTTCACATTCCCTTTTTTCACATTTTCATTCCCTGTTTTCCTTTCCTGATTTTAAACTATCTTTTTATTGTAGACCTCCCCTTCCCTGTTTCCTTTCATATCCCATAAATTGAAAAGTGAAGGGAGTGAAGAATGGAAGATTATATAGTATATTGCTATCTTCCTTTCCACACATATAATATATACTAGCCCAGAGTACATTACTGGTGTTTATACACATCATGTTTTAAAAATATTTTAATCTGTTGCCACTATTTAAAAATCAAGATTTTTTAATACATTTTTAAAAAACCAACCCAGAAATCTCATTTTTGTTGGAATAAAACACATGCTATGGCAGTACTGGGTCTTTATTCCCACACTAGAGGCCCGGTGCACAAAATTAGTGCATGGAGTAGGGAGTTTCCCTCAACCCAGCCTGCACCCACTCCAATTGGGGACCCCTCAGGGGATGTCCGACCGCCGGTGTAGGCCTGATCCCTGTGGGCGGTTGGACACCCCTCTTACAATCTGGTACTGCTGGCTCCTAACCACTCACCTGCCTGCCTGCCTGCCTGATCGCCCCTAACTGCCTCTGCCTGCCTGTTTGATCTCCCCTTACTGCCCTCCCCTGCTGGCATGATCATTCTGATTGGTCAGTTTCTATACCAGTCAGCGTCTCTGAGCCTATCGACAGGGCCTGATCAGAAAGGAGAGGCTGATCAGCAGCCCCTGTGGAGGCCTGGAGAGAAATGGAGGCATGGCTGTTGGCCAGGCCAGGAGAGAAAGAGAGGCAAGTTCTGATCAACGTCTGCCACAGAGGCTACGGATCAGACCCTGCCCCTCTCTCTGCAGGCTTCTCTCCAGGCCTGATCCGCAGCCCCCTAGGCAGTCAGGGCTGGGTCGGAGCATCAGCAGCGGCCGCAGTCAGTGCTGGGTCGACACAGCAACCCAGCACTAACTTCCGGTCTGGTTGAGTCTTCGGTCATACGACCCTGGCTCTTTATAGATATTACATAGATACTACGCGGCCAGCGGTGTTGAGGGGCTGTCCCTCCAACACAGCATGTGTTCTGGGTTGCCTCAGTGGCCCGTACATGATATTGTCTGACCGGATGTCATCTATTTCCATTTTTAAGTACTGTATCAAAAATATACCTTTTAAAAATTAAGTGTTATAATTGTATGTCTTACTTTGAGTTTAAAATAGGATAATAATTAGAATGTCTGTCTCTGTTTCTGTTTTGTGTAAGTGGAGACAACACTAAAGTTTTGTTCAGAGAAGCTTCAGGTTTTCAGTTAAAAGTAATATAAGGTTGTCCTGATCAGGCACATGCCTGGGTTGCAGGCTCGATTCCACTAGGGGTGTGCAGGAGGCAGCCGATCCATGATTCTCTCCCATCATTGATGTTTCTCTCTCTCTCCCTCTCCCTTTCTCTCTGAAATCAATAAAAACAAATTTTAAAAGTAATTAAGGTTTCTATCATTGAATCCTTGAAATGTATAATCAGAAAGTTCCAAGTACTATCTATTTATAAGTTTTAGTGAGCAAAGCCTTTTGACCAAACTGTGCCTTCTTTCTCATTATTTCACATAGCCATTCTATGTTTGTTCATCTTTACCTGAGCTCTTTGACATTGTTGAATCCTCTTATATACTTTTCATAGTCATTCATTCAGTAAAGAAGTTATTCTTTGTGTTATGTTTTTACACAAAGGAATAAACCACTTTATAATAGATGGAATATGTTAGATTTTTATAAGGAAGCAATGTAGAGATATAGTAAGGTGATTTCAAACATACTTATTACCCTTTATTTTAAAAAAATAATTTGGTAACCAAGACACCATTTAAAGAATACAGTCCTGATTTTTAATTTTTTGTAAAGTTAATATATGTAAATATATTAATATAGTAACATATTCTTTATTATTTTGTGAGTATCACAATTTGTTTTGATTGCTTAAAATTAAGCCTTTTTTACCTAGTTAAAAAATTAAGAAGTGTCAAGCAGCTGATAGGTAAGTTGTCTGAAGGTTGAAAATGTTATCCAAAGGTTAAAACAGTAGAACAGTATTAACATTTCTTTGTGCTGGCACAGTGAGTCAATGACTTGAACTTTTGCTGGCCTATGTGGAATAAAAGAAATAAATATAATAAATTTCATAGTATGGCCCTAACACAGAAATAAAATATGAACATATACCATTGCCTCAGTACTAGTAGTAGGCTTTTTTTCCCCTTAGGCACATTTTATGACTATAATGTTTCATTCATTTCACTGGCATTTATTGAATTATCCTCAAGATACAGAGTTCTTTCCCATGCAGTAGATATTTGTATATAATACTACCTAGTCTCTTTTATCAATAGATTATAGTGGAGTTACTCCAAAAACATCTTAAAACTGCAACAAAAACAAATACTGTATTTTCATGTTTTGTGAAATAAGGCAGCTAAGATAATTGTTTTATTTAATAAGCACATATACATATAATAATGAGCTCGGCATATTTCTTGTTGTTTTTAAACTTTATTTATGTTTCCCCATAAACCATGTATCCCTTCTATGCCCTCTTCCACCTCCACCCACCCCACCGCTCCCCCACAGCAGATTTCTTATTTGTCACCAATCTATTTTATATTCATGTTTAATATGTGATGACTATTGTCTGAATTTTACCCTGCCTTTGAAGTGTGAAACTGAATTCCTTGCAAGAATATTAAGCATAATGTGACATTTCCCCCAGAGAGACCAGTATATAAGAGATGTAAAACAGACACACACAAAGAGAGAATAGCCTTAGGCTGTTAAGAGACTGTTCAGTGACTTTATGTTAACAGTTGAAACGTTTGAAGTCAGCTAAGATTTCACTAGTTACTGTACAATTGTCACATCAAAGTAGATGGCATCTGTGTGATTTCATTTTTCATGATTAATGGTGTAGTATAATAGAACCTATGTTTTTCAGCCATTTCTATCTAACTCTCTCATGTATGTAGTAGAGATCCAGAGAAGTATCCAAATTAAGACACCTGAAAGGGTAGACTTCTCCAATGTAGTAGGTTTCAAATATTATGAGCATTCATTACATGAATAATTTTATGCTGATCACTTTGTTCCTGAAGCATTTATATAATAAAACATACCATTGATCATAAGCTGTCCTTCAGGATTAGCATGGCACTAAACTCCCACTTAATTATCTCAAGACTGAAAATGATACCAAACTGTGTCAAAGAGTTCTATCAACAAGACATTTTGTGAACTGTCACTTTGTCAAATGAAATACAGGGGTACATGATTTGAGAGATCTAAATCATTAATGCCATTATGTTATGGAAATGACAGCATATGCTAGTGTGGTATTCGGCTACAGACTAGACCAGACCCTAGTATATGATGGCACAGAACAAAGCAGTAGGATTCACTAAAGATAGTCTTGAACAGTGTGACTGACAGAGCTGTGAATTGATAGGTGTAGCTTTAGGAAAAATGCAAAAAAAAAAAAAAGTATCATTATAGTTATGTATTCAACAGTAATGCCTATTTGCCAAAGATTTTGGCAGCAAGTCTGGTACTTGCGCAGCATCCTGGTCAATGTTAAATTTACAAACTAATGAAATTCAGCATCAAACAAGTACCCTCTTATACTGCCTAGTCTTCATCAAGACTATAAGACATAAATATACTTCTTGATATAATAAGCTTATTGAATTCTTTTGTTTCATCTATACCATCTTCTCTGTTATTATTAACATTTAATGGCAAATCATATTTTTGAACAAGCCCTAGGATAGTTACAGTCTACTGGATTAGTGTGTGTCTGCTAAAATACTTCTATCTAATAAGATATATACAGAATAGCTACAGAGTAGCTAAATATAAAGCTACTGTATAGTATGACTGTACTTACACTGAAGACTTTTAGCAAAGTGATAATCAAAAGTGGATGGTTTTTATTTAAATACTAGAGGCCCGGTGCACGGATTCATGCACCAGTGGGGTCCCTTGACCTGGCCTGTACCCTCTCGCAATCCTGGACCCCTCAGGAGATGTTGGACTGCTGGTTTCCGTCTGATCCCTGCAGACCAGGCCGAGGAATCTCACCAGTGCACGAATCCATTCACTGGGCCTCAAGTATGCATATTAGATCTTTGGTTAATCTCTTCCTGCCATCCCTCCTCCCCCTTCCCTTTGAGATTCATCAGTCTCTTCTATGTTTCCATGCCTGTGCATTGAGTGTCTTCCCCCAGTGGTCAGTGTGCATCATAGTTAAGGGTCGAACGGTCGCTTAGGCTTTTATATATATAAATATAATATATGCATAAATATTTATACTAGGTAGGTATATATTTAATTTCTCCATTATTCTTCTAATGTACAGCCAGACTTTGGAATCACAAAAAGAATAAAATTTTGTTATGGTCTTAAGTTTTATCATTGTTAGCTGAAAAACATTAGTGTTGTACGTATATTGGACTTACCGTTTGTTCCTGTAAATGACAGTTGTCTTGGTTATTTTCTGAGTACAACAAATTAATTTCTTCCAGTTTTGCTTTAATTTGCATTTCTAAATTTTTGTATTTTGATTTTTTTCCAGTGGAAATTTGAAACATTGTTTAAAATTTACTTTTTTATATCTAGATAAATATTCCATAGTTTTGAATGCATAATTTCTTAAAAGCACCCATAGTTCATTACAGTTGTTTCATGCAGGACTAAATTTGTTTCCCTTTCACCTTCAATGCCTATAAAGATAATATTGTAAAACATACATTCTCAGGATGAGATGTGTTTCTGAAATGATATATTGTGTTCATTGAAATATATTCAGAATTAAGTATAAAAAAACTTTCAAGCAGAATAGTGAAATTACTTTGTAATTTGTTTTAATATTCTTAGTTTGAAAGTGCTCCTATAAACCATCATTAAATTTGACCATTTTGTCTAAACTACATGCATTATATAAGTTTTCAGTGTTTACTTTGCCTCTTTTTCACCTCCTCCGTGTATTCATGTCTAAATTATCTAATTTCCTAGAATCTCTTGAGCCTGAGGGATCCATTACTGTTTCAATGGGTATTGACTTCTGTGATTCCACTCAGACTGCCAGTTTCCAGTTGTGGTAAGATCAATTGTTTTTCTGTATTTTCTATTTCCTGTAAAGGATAGCAGATCAAAACTTGGCTTTCAACAGCTTTTTTTCTTTGAGAGACAAAATGTTTAAACAAATGTGCCTTTCTTTGGCAATGGTTAGACTACCATGCAGTAGTTGTATGAATTTTGTACAATGTATGTTTAATATTTGTTATACAACTAGCCATTACAGACTGCCATATGTGATTGAAATTCACAGTTTGTTGGTCAAAGTAAGAAGCTACTGCTAAATAATATTTTCACTTCTTCTAACTCTACAGTTTTGGAACATTCAGGAGAAAATTGATGAGGAACATTCAGGAGAAATTTTAAAAAAAACTTTAATATTACTGAATAGCCCAGAGAAGTTATCTTTTTAAACATCTAATATGTTATCTTAAACTTCTTAAGTGGAGAATTATTTATTCTGTCAGTACTTAAAACCCATACATTTTTCCCTTTTTACTTTAATTTACAAACTATTTTGATAAAATTTAAAAGAACATTTATGCAGTTGCAAAGGTTTCAAACAGGTGAATATTATTCAAAAGAGCTTTTTCTAGGATTGAGTTTTGTCATTGTTTTTATATGTGTTATACATTTCTAATGAAATCCAAAATCTATTAGCAAATTAGTAGAGTTTATATTCATGCATCTTTAAGAATTATCTTTGAACCCTTTTGTATTTTCCTGGTCTAGGATATAATTTCTTATTTTGATTTGAGGTTGCTCTGTTTTTATTCTAAAAAGAATTGGGACATTTTATTTAAGTTTTAACTTGCTTAAAGCAGTATTTCTTATGATAAAAAAATCTCCAAGTTTAGGAAATAGACATTTTAAAACAAGTTTATATTTAAATATAGTCAACCTTTCTATTTCATATGCCTTTTTATTTTTCCAGTAATTCAGACCTAATGTTGTACCATTTATTGCTGAGAACCTGCAATGATGAATATAAGCAATGTAGCATAACACATTGATTTTATGCAGATCATCACCTTTATGTTTTGGGAGGTCTGCTGTATTACTGATATATAAAAACTGATTACTTTTCCCAACATTGTCTAGTAATTGTTTATTATTTTTCTATTAGACAACACAGATCAATATTACTGAGCACAAGACTATGAGTAACATCACTCTAAATAGATTTGCCTCCAGCGCCAGAGGTATATTCATTTTAATGATTTTGACAATGTGAGCCCAATGACAAAGCTCATGCACCAAGTTAGGGCAAAATTAAGAACTAAATTAATTATTTTTTTCTTATCAAGTTATCTAAAGAACATTTTATATTTCTATGTAATGAAGGTGGTTTTTTTAAACTATGTTTTTATTACAAAGTTTTCCTCTGTAGTCCTTTAGGTGAGATTTGCATTTTGTCTTTCACAATTAACTAAATACCTTTAAAGATAAATACGTAGGTAGTGTTTGATTCTTATCTTACATTGAAGAGTGTATAAACAGTTTTTTCTCAATTTCTCTTAAACTAATTTTAGGAAAATGATGAATGTATTTTTACAAAGAAAATAGCCTTCGTTATTTTAAGCATGTACATTAGTATGTTTTGCTGTTGTGAAGGTAAAAGTTAACTATGTACTTTAGATTTTATTAAGCACATAAGGATACTAGATCAAAAGGGATTAAATGCTGCATGAGGAAG